TTTTCATCATGCCGATATATTCTGTTGAAAGATTTTATGTAGTAAAACTAAACAGCCAAACTTTAAGCTGTCTCCCTATTTGTGTTCATGTCATTATACCGGCTGTGAATGTGTTTTATTTGTTTTATGCAAATGTATTTTGTTCCTGGAGCAAAATTTTTTAGATTTTATATGATAGATCAAAGTTTTAGTTTATGATTCTGTAATGTTTGTTGTTAAATTGTTGTCCTGCTCAAAGCTGCCTACTGTGCCTTTTAAGCAGACATTAAAAGTACATTTTGAAGTGGCTTGCATTTTGCTCTTTTTATTGATGCTTTGAAAAAGGGAAAGAATTAAACATTAAACTTTGCAGCTTATGTCGTCTTTCAGGAGACGTTATTCAAGTTTCTCCCAAGATGTGTCTTATGTTTTTTTATGATCGTGTTTAATATAAATTATTTATACATATTAGGCCTAAGATGCATCCAGAACACAATTAAGGGTATTATAGGTAACATATAGAGTGGGTGATATCAATTGCAAAGGCTGATTTTAGACTCGCAGTACAATCTTTTTTTTTTCTTCTTTTTGTGTATATACTGTGTATATACTTTAGCTACCCTGGTTTCTAAATTCTTATATCTAATATCTACAGTACTGTGCAAAAGTCCTGAGCGGCCCCAGAGTTTATTTTTATTTTGTAATAAACTCTGGGGCGACTCCGATTTGTGTTTAAAGTGGTCTTCTCCAGGTTTTCTGAGGGTCCTTCAAAGCTTTTCTTTGGACACTGGCTGATTTTTTACTCCTTTTCAATCCAGTCTTCTTCTTTTTTTTAACCTGACCATTTTTTGTCAACCTTTTTTTCTTATATATTATTATATAATTTATACATGAAAAAAAGAAACATAAATCAAGGGATGAACCACTGGTGTGTGTACACATATTAGGTTTATCAAAGAAAACATGTATGTTTAGGCACTTTGTTAGTAGCAGCGTGTCATAAAAACATAATTTGTTCTCATTTCTTTAGCTAAAGTTACAAAAGTTGTTAGTTTCACACGCACAAAGCAGTATTTTTGCACCAACAAGCGGAATCCCAGAACGCAATTAGCTAACAACTTGGCATATCTCAGCACTGTTTGCAATGCAATTTGAGAAAACTGGACAAGTAGAGGAGAAAAGAAGAAGTGGCAGGCTCACAAAAATATCTGGAGTAAATGAACAGTACCTGAAAGATAGGTCATTAAGAAATTGGAGGTGGGTGACCAGCAATGGTTTGACACAGGACCTGAGAGGTGTATCTGTCCCTTCACTTGATGCGTCTACTGTTTGCTGAAGCCTCATCAGAAATGGTCTCAGTGGTAGCTGTCAAGATGCCAACATGAAAAAAGGGTGAGGTATGTGAAATTGCACTAAAACCAGCATCCATAGAAGAGCTTTAGAATGTCCTTTAACGGTCTTGGA